TTGTGAAATTTTGAAATTTTTGATTTTTTTATTTTTTTATTTTTTCGGCACCTAAAAAAATTTCAATTTCGTTCAAAGTGGGTAGCCACAGATTTTAAACCATTTTGTGAAGTTTTGAAATTTTTGATTTTTTGCTTTTTTTTCCAACCTTAAAGATCGTAACTTCCATATGAACATGTGTTTTGAAGAAAGAGTTCTCTCAGAAATGATTCTCATTTTTTGTCTAGAAATAGAAAACCTACTCTTTTTTGTTCGATTACGGTTCAAAATCGGATTTGCGGACGAAAAATTGTTCAGAAAATAGAAAAATGGAATTGCGTTCAAAATGGGTTTGCAGTCAAAGCATTGCAGGAGCAGACAGGTTAAGACAATAGGAATGGTTATCATGCTAGCTAAAGACCCGAGGCTGAAACTTCACCGGCAACTGCTGAAGCGTGGTGTACAAAGCAAGGAAAGCCCGCTACGGCGCTACCTAGGGTACTTGATCATCATGCAATGCGCTTCCCGCACGTGGTGCACCTATTGATCCTACGACCGCACCATCAGCATCGAGCTTGTGGCAACCTTTGTGGAGGTCGATTCCAATGATGAACAGCTCTGTTCCTATGCTCCTAACGCTCCCCTACTCTTTTGGGCAGACGCGTAACCAACCTGTGTCCTGATATTAGCGCCGGTCCAGTTTCTCAAACTTAGATCATAACATTGGTGAAGGGGAGGAGGAGCGCCGATGTAAGCCCAAAATTCTTTCGCTCTGTCACACACTCCAACCACATGCTCAGGTGTCTCCTCCTCTCTATTACATTGAGGACAGATAGTGCTTAACATTCATGTCTCTTCTCGCCAAAGTGGATCTCGTGGCAACGCTATCATGTGACATTCACCAACTGAAAAACCGAATGCGAGGAACAGCATCCACTTTCCACGCCCAAGTCCAATCTTCTTCCAGCTTTCTCCAAGGATCCAAACCTACAGCCAAATGATAAGCATCCTTCAAAGCAAAGCGCCCGTCCCTAGAGAAACTCCAACTGAATTCAGAATGCATCCCTTGCCCCTCTTCCAATTGGGACTGCCCGTTTCACATTCAGAATCTCGTTAGGAAAGGGATAAGAGAGTCTGGCAAAGTCCCATACTCCCGTAGAAATCCAACAAGTCCTCACTTTCGACTTCAGATCGCTAACACGCCAAGGCCCAACTACTAGATCCCCTAAAGAACCAAACTCTGGTCAGTTGTCAGGTGCAGCTTTACCTTTAGGAAATAAAATACCTACTTTCCAACTGGTGAGTTTAATCCGAGCCTTTTCAATGATGAACCTGAAACGACGAGCACTACCACCATCTGTATGGAAAGGAAATCCTAAGTAGCAATAACAAGACAAACCAAGCCTTCTGCCGAGATTGTCATAAGCAGCAATACCGAGAATACCAGAAAGTCCATCACAATCATCAAAGTTCAATTCTCCGGCAAAGAAGACTTTGGATTTACCAAAAATTTTGCCTTTTGCCCAGAATCCTCACAGAAAGACTTAAAGGGCGTCCACTACCAATTGACAACCGGCCTCAGTAGCCTCACCAAACAGAAACATGTCGTCTGTAAAGAATAAATGCGAGAAAGCCAAGCCCCCCTGTTAAGACCTTCACGGGTTGCAACGTTCCTCTTCAATCAGATAACTAAATATTTTCATACAATGGATAAACAGCGAAGGGTAAACGGGATCACCTTGCTTTATGTCACACACCTAAATATGGGTAATGACATGGCCATCGTTCTCTCTACCTGAAGGACATAACCTCAAACTAAAATCAACATATCAGAGTTCCTAAACCCAATAAAGTATGTATACATTTCCGACGCATACCCAAAATTCAATACCAAATGCTGCTCGCCATAAGCGCTCGTCCTACTTGATGCTAACTGAGGGATCTGGAAAACATGATAAGAAGAATGGAATGAGCAATCACAGCCCAATGACTAATGCATTTCTTTTAATTTGATCAAGCATCCAATATGCACATTTATAAATCGACATCATAACTCTTTACATATCATATTAATAATGAATAATAACAAATCAACCAATAAAGATCCATTCCAATGATTAATCTCTATCAAATCAAATGTCAATAGTCCATTTGACTAATCTAATACTCAATATTTAACTATGGCTACACTTAATGCCCGTGATGAAGGCGGCCAAGTTTACCCATTGCCTAGTCTCCACCTATATCAGCCGGGAGTTTGGCCCAAAAGGATGTTATGAAACAGTATGCATACTTACCTCTCAATGGGTGTCTAAATATAGAGACATGAGCATAATCCACCAACCTCAATCTCCAATAACTCGCAACCCAAATTAGAAATCATTTCAAAACTCAAGTTTACCAATCAACTCATATAACTTGTCACGATTCAATACACACACATATATCAAAGTACCTTTCATAAAGCATGTTCATAAATCGTGAACTTTCCGTGATTCTTTCGTAAAAGGTTTCATAAACTATTTACAGGCAATCAACTTAAATTGTTATTAACAATAACTTTTCCATTTCAAATAGACAAAATGGTAGTAAATGCTCAATCTGGATTCTATGCAATAAAAATGATATTTCATAACTCATACTATATCTAATCCATATCGTTTTCGTAATATGAGTTCACAAACTCAATTAAGATATAGCACCACTCACTTAGAAAAGCCTAAAATCAACTTATGAAGGTTACTCGAGTCGACGCACTTGTATTCCTATCAATTAATCAAAAAACGATATCAAAATCTGAGTAATACACTACTCTGACGAACAACTCGACTAACTACGTTTAATCATCACTAAAACGACTTCTACATGCTAACGAAGAAATTCGTTTATAACAAATGTTCATTTTTGTCTCTCTTGTGTATTGTCCATTACGTGTAACTCGCACGCAAAACTTTAGAAGTTTGTTATGCTCAAACCGTACTTCAGAATAAATTTTCGTCAAACCCTAAAGCTCCACAATGCTTTAAACCATCATTTCCATATGAATCTACAAATTAGTAACTCCAAAATCGGATTTCGTAGCTCAAAATTTACAGAAATCCAAATTTATGACCTAACTTCAAAATTACTCCGATTAGACAAATAATAGGCTCGAATACTTTGCAATTTGGCTTGTCAGGACGTCCGAAATAGCTACATGCGAAAATTTCTCTCTCTCTCCTCTCTTTCCCCTTTACGGGATTCACATATGAGCCCTTCTTCAATTTCCTTGTTTTGTCCGCTCATTCCTCTTATTTCTTTGTCATTCACGAAGCTTGCTTGGAGGAAGGAGAAGACTCTCTTAATTTACACGGGCTAAGGCTAACAAATAATGGGCTTCGGCTTCTAAATGGGCTGAGTTTATGGGCCCATATGTTACACTTTAATCCGATACTCGGCGAGGTAGGATATAGCATGCCACCATTCCCAACGATAGTGGTAGAAGCAGTGGTGGTGCAATTCATTTGTGATTCAAGATCGATTTTAGCAGCAAAAGAACCTTTCTTCGCTTTGTTGTGTTGCATCGTATGAATAACTTCTATCACAACATTATCGTGCGTTCACCTACCGGGAATGAAGCTAGCCTGCCAAGGACTTCTAAAGAAATAAGCAAGCGCTCTTGGTTTTCTAGTTCTTTTCCTTTAAATGGTAAAAAAATAAATTTTAAAGTTTGGATTTTTTTTCATATAGTACGGCCGAAAATTTAACATGTAACAAGAAAAATGAACAAAGTTTGTTTTTGTTTTTTTTCCAAGTCAATGTTCATGTATCAACCTGTAATTGGACCCGAGTATATAAATGAGTGCCGCATCATGTGGCGCTATGAAATCGATGAATATTTTCTTCACCTATATTCGAAATGCATCTCTCTCTGTCTCCATGCATATGTGCACGAGTATGTGCAGAGGCTTCATCATCACGACAACTCTTGTCCATGATCAAGACGCCTCCAAATCTTCGCGCCAGGCCTGAAGGTGACCCAATTTTATAAAGATGCCTCCATGGCAAGAGGGATTTTTCCATCGAGATCTAGATGAGCATTGTACACATATCTTAATGGTAAGATCTGATGCCGTCATTCCATCGACGAGGGCCAATGCGCAGAGAATGAGAGAGAAGAAGGCAACGATAGTCGTTGATCAAAGAAGAAAGGGAGTGAGAGAGGCAAAGTTAGCTAAAGCTTGGCAAAAGGAGTGGTGTAATTTTTTCTCTTTATGCAAAATTTTGAAATGCAATTGTCACATGGTAATTTGGGGAAATGATATAGTGTCAAACTTTCGTCCAATGTCATCATTAAATATTTAATTCGTTTAACGTGGTCATTGAATTATCCCTAAATGTTATATATAATCTCTAAATTTTCAATTTTTATAATTTAGTCCATCAACTTTCCACAAATCCAAAACCGATCATTTAATACTATTCACAAGTTTTCATAATTACAATACTACTCAGATTTTAGAATTTCTTTTCATTTCAATACTTTTTATTTTTACTTTTTGACCAAAAAAAAAACAAAAAAAAAATACTTTTTATAAATTTTTTTTTTTAAAATATGATATTTTGAAGTTATTTAATTACATTTTTGGTCTTATAAATATTACGATAACTCCATTTAAATAAAATTTAACTATGATATCTATAATGGTATAATTATAATCTCATTTAGACTTGTATCATATCGATATTCCTATTATTTTACATGTAAGTGCTTTCATAATGAGATTTAGCAACGATATTAATTTATCTACAGATGTCTGTATTTATCCTAATCAAGGAACAAGATTTCGATTATTGAGAATTTTACTAATTTAACATAAAGGAACTATCTTCTAGAAAGTGAATGGAGGGAAAAATGTGAAATCTATCATTATGAAGTTACTAACCCAACTAAAAATGTGAAAGCTATCATGGTGATATCACAGAAAAATACCAAACATATCCTATTTCCTTTGTTGTAATCATGTGCTCCTCCTGTAGGAGAGATGTGGATGGCGAGAGGAATAACACCCTTCTAGATTGAAGACCGACGAAACGAATGAGCCTTCCCCAGTAAACTCCACCATTAGTGCCAATTATCAAACACAGCTATCCCTCCGGACCTTCCTGGGTTAGAAATCTCCAAGCCCCATTGACTTTAGATCTTCACTAATCTATCTTAATCTCAACTATGCAGTGTCTGATATGATTCTGTAGCGAAGGAGAAAAGAACATTCCCCTGGTTTTTTGTTTTTTCCAACTTGAGGAGAGAAGAAGTGCAAACTGCAAACCCCATTTCTCTCCTGTGTAGCTGGCCTCTGTCTCTCTCTCTCTTTCTCTTGCAAAATCCCCACCTAAAAACCCCCCAAGACTGAAGCACAAAAGGACCCATCTGTTTCTTTTTCATTCCCTTTTCACCATTGTCACTGCTTGTCCTTCTTTCGCTGTGGTTAGCTTGTTGGAGCTCGGAAGCAGAGGAAAGAGGGGATTTTTTTCTTTTGGGTTTCCCTCAAGTCTTGATTTTGTTGTTTGCCAATCTTTGTGTGGGAGCGGTAGTATGTACAGATCCGGTGCTGTGATGGCTTGGAACGTGTTCAAATTCTGCACGGCGCTCCGCGGTCTCGGCTCGATCATGATCCTGCTCGTCTTGGGGGTCGTCGGCGTCACCTACTATGCCGTCGTCTTGACCAATTACGGTCCGAGCTTGTACGAGGGCGGGCTCGACTCCTTCGTTGCTCTTGGTGTCCTGATCTTGTTTCACTGCCTGGTTAGTTAGCTAGCTCCTTACTATGTGTCACTCAGCTAAACTTTATCTGAAATTTGCAAAATTTGGACCCTGTTTCTGTCATTTCATTTTTTTTTCTTGTTCTTTTTTGTTGTTCTGTTTCGGTTGATGGGTCGGTAGAAACTTTTGGGTTTTTTTGAGTTTTGGTTGATGGGTTGATAATTATGATGCTTGTGAGATCATGGGAATTAGTGGGTGCCCTCATGTTGTGGCTTTTTGGTTGATGGAGACAATTTCTGATACCTGTCTTCAATGCTGTGGAAAATAACGTGTCATGAGAGCATGTTTGCTTATTTTGTTTCAGCCCATTCATTAAATGATAGGGATATGGCTAATGCCCGTCAGGAATTCTAGTATCTACTCTGAGAAAACCATTTGGCTTTTCTTTGGACATCTGCTATTATAGGCATGCGCAGCTTGGAAAGCATGGTTTCCTACAATAGGTAGATGCATTTCTATTCTAGCCATCACTTGTTTGACTGAATAATAGGAGCTGTTGGATCTTTTTTAAGAATCTTTTGAGCTGTGGGTTTGAGTTTCATGGTGAGTTAATATGATGGGTAACTGGACCCAAAGAAATACATACTCAGAATGGTAAGGCTTTGCGTTGTACAGTTGGTGATGCTGCTCTGGAGTTACTTTTCAGTCGTGTTGACGGACCCCGGGAGTGTGCCACCCAATTGGAGGCCTTCTGTTGATGAGGAGAGAGGAGAGAGCGACCCATTGAATGGTTCGGACTTCAGCATTTTGCAGTCTGATCTATCTCACACGAGAATACGCTTCTGTCGGAAGTGCAACCAGCCAAAACCGCCAAGATGCCATCACTGTTCTGTTTGTCAGTGTTTCCACATCATCCAATATTTTTTTCTATTTCGAGCAAGCTTTCCCCGTGGAAAACTTAAGCTGTGGTTTTTTGTAGGTGGAAGGTGTGTACTTAAGATGGATCATCACTGCGTGTGGGTGGTTAACTGTGTTGGTGCTTTGAATTATAAATACTTTCTGCTTTTCTTGGTAAGTTACTGCCTCTTTGATGGCCTGGCTGTCCGATTATTTTTTGAGAAACGAAGTTGCCTTTTCCATCATATCACGATATCCATGTTCTTCTACATTCTGCCTTTCCTGTTTCTTTTTTTGCATTCTTCTGGAATGCAGACCAAGACACAGAGTATGTCGGTATGAAAGCTTATATCTGGCCTTATAATACTTTAGCTGAATCCGTTGAATTGGGGGTTCGAAGACACTTAAATATATATTTCAGTTAAATCAGCTGTTAAACTAGTTGCCTTTGCACTTGTTACTAAATATATTTGTTTGTATTATACTAAGCTCCTCTAGTCAAAGCAGATATTAGAATAGGAAGCCAACATAAAATAAAAACCTTGCATGTTCTTCTAATCAACAAAGCTTTAACTCTCAATGATTCGACTGTGTCTTCCAGGAGACCATTTCACTGTGGTATTCTTTTTATCCTCAGCACTAACGGATTTCTCTTTGCTGTTGTTTGCTTTAAAACAAACACCTAGGTCATTGTGGTTGGTATTTTGCACAGCATCTGCATTTATCCTCACAAATATGAATCATTGTAGATGAATCAAACGCGATCACCCCGATACATCAGATTACTTTTTCTATGCCAATCATGAACTTGTTCACTCCGCTTTTATGTCATTTATTTTCCTAGAACCCGCAAAATGTGAGTTCTTGCCATTGTCCATGTCTTTGATGTTTTAATTGTAGACATCCGTGCTACTTCATAGTCTAGGTTGATAATGCTTATAGGCGAGGACAATATACATTATTTATCTTTTAGAGTTTGTCGAAGCAAAAACGTATGATGAGTTGTGTACATCAGCCAATTGAATGCATGGATGTTCTGTTTACTCAAAAATCTTGGGAAGCATATGAGATGATGAAATGCACTGTTGTGGTTGTTTAGATATCTTGATGAACTTACCTATCCTTATGCTGGCCAAGTGTGGTCATGATGGCCGTTAGCATTTGTCCATAGGATGCTTACTATAGCATGTAGGATGATATTGTTTCTCAATATAGTTCTCTATTTTCGCTAATTTCTGCTTTACATATGAAAATGGAAAATGTCTTTAATGCAGTTCTATACATTTCTGGAGACAAGTGTAGTTACTTTATCATTACTCCCGCACTTTATTGCATTCTTTAGTGATGGAGAGATACCTGGAACACCTGGAACACTTGCAACAACTTTTCTTGCCTTCGGTAAGGTTTAAATAATCTATTTCAGTTTCTGATGTTTTATCTTCAGTATCGCATAAACAAGGTAGTTATTTAATGTTGGTGCAATTTGCGTGCTTTTTTATAGTCCTCAATTTGGCTTTCGCATTGAGTGTCCTGGGGTTCCTGGTCATGCACATTTCCTTGGTTGCTGCTAACACGACGACAATAGAGGTCTGCTCTTTTGCTTAAGCCTATCTTCTGGTCAAAAAACTTACGCAGCTGCATTAGATGGTTTCATTGGTTACTTTTCGTAGAACCTGAGTTTATGTGATTTTAGAATTATCACGCCAATTTTTCTTTTTCTGGTGATTCTATTTAGTTAGAGTACACGCTGCCTAAAACGGTTGAAAACAATAAGTTGGAAATCTGAGGTTCCTTCTTAGGGGTGAGCATGGTCCGGGTGGGCGGTTCCCATCCTCGAACCGGGAACCGCCCACTAGGGACCGGTTCCGAAAAATTGGAACCAGGAACCAGTCCCACCAGCCAAGGACGGAGAGTCGGAGACGGTAAGGTGAGCATCGACTGAGAAGAGTGAGAGAGTGAGAGTGAGCGTGAGGCGAAAGCGAAAGAAGGTGTTTCTCGGCTCAGTGTGAGGTTATGAGCGTCAAGTGAGTTAGGTTTAGTTTAGGGATTTAGGATTTTTTTTAATTAAAAATTAAATAAATATAATATATTATATTATATGTTATTATTATATTACCGGTCCGGTCCGGGTGGGCGGGTGGGCGGTTCCACACCTGGAACCAGGAACCGGACCGGGTCCGGTCCGGTTTCGGGCGGTCCGAGCGGTTCCCGGTTCTTTTTAACACCCGTAATCCTTCTTGGTTTGTCGAACATTGTCCCCTATCACTTGCAAGATTTTGATCCACTGTCCCATTTTGCATTACAACAGAAAGTAAGGTTGGCAGTCTACTTCCCTATTTGCATGGCCTTTTTTCTTGAGTAGAGATACTGTTGGTGGTAAATGAGGATCTTTCTTCTGCTTGTTAATTGTATTTGCCTGTGGTCAGGCATATGAAAAGAAGACCACTCCAAAATGGCGTTATGATCTTGGACAGAGAAAGAATTTTGAACAGGTATTACACTTCAGTTAGTGTCATTGTAATACTTGCTCTTCTTGAACCTGTTGCTTAAGACTGGTAGTGGAGTGTGATCTTCCAAACTGGAAATTACCAGGATTCTTAGTTTTATAGTATTATTAGAGTGCGTCTCTTTGTTTTCTCTGCTTATGATATTGATGAGAGCTAAAAGTCGCATATTCGGGGAAGAGAAATCCAAGTTACGTTTGAAAACTATGCGGCTATTAGCTAGAAAACTGTTAGGGGCTTGGTCGCTGACCAATAAGAAACTGATCTGTGGCTTTTATTTGTGGCCTCTACATGTTAGTCGTCCCTCCTCATGGTGTCTGGATTCTTCCCAGCCTAACATGTTTTGCTAATATTTATGGGCATGTTTGCTCAACCTTTGACGGCATTCGTGAGTCATGCATTTATTGGATCTGGTGTTGGGGGTTGCTCTATGTTCATTTTTAGGAGCTTGACTGGTAAATTGATCCTTCTGTTTTGAGCAGTCTAAGATAGTCAATAAAGGGCATTTCGTTGCCCGGTTTCTTTTGGGCATCGACATAATGGATTATTACTGCTTTCCGCCAATAAATGACCTAAATTAGCAAAGATTTACCTATCCATCCCAAAGCCAGATAATGGCGGGATATGGATCCTAGTTCTTGATATCTCCGTTGAAGGACTTGTTAAGTTAGCTGGCGCCTTAAAGCTCAGAACTATTTAAAGTGTCGTTTTTTTTTTTTTTTGAATCTTCGACCCTGATAAAAGACAGCTCTGTCTTTGATAACAAAAGATAATGGACTTACTGGAAGAATTTGTGCCCCTGTTGAAACTTCTTGATCTTTTTCGAGGCTTTCCTTAACTGAACTTTACTTGTGCTTTTGGTGCTTTAGGTATTCGGGACGCATAGACTCTACTGGTTCATTCCATCTTATTCAGAAGAGGACATAAGGCGGATACAGGCGCTTCAGGGTCTTGAATATCCGTCGTGGCCCGGTTTCGACAGCGAAGAGTTCTGAGGAGAACTCGCTGCGCGTTCTCAGGGAGGTTGACCTATTGACCCGATATACACGGAGGCCCCGCCACTAACTGTTTGTTATTTACTGATGCACCTTACTCAGGGCTTCCTTTGTGCTGATACCACCGTGGCTCTCCTTGTAGAAATAGCTCTGTGAGAGAGAGAGAGAGATTCAACAAAGGGATCGCCGATCTCCGAGTTCTGTTTCCATGGTCTTGGGCTGCGATGTAACATATGCATTATTTTAACTTAGGCAAGTGTAATATCGGATATTGTGAAACTTTGCCCTCGATCAATTTTTAACACATTCATCTTTGAAGTTGAATGTACCTGTATGCTGCGGATGTAGATAACAGTTTACATGTCCAGAATTTGTGGAAGTCACATTTTGATTCCCGGTTTCTTGTCCTTCCTTTCTTCCTACTTGGTAAGAACAATGGCAAGAAATTAGCCGGTCGAGAGACAATATCGGGTTTTCCATAGATCAAAAGCTTGTCGAGGCAAGCAGTATGCAGTGTGCCGTCCCCTCGTCTAGCAGCATTGCAACATCGAAATTTCCCGCCCGAAATAGGACCTTCTCTTTCCTGGATAGCGAGTTCTTCGTTTCGCTCTACGGTCATCGATCAAGCTTTAAGTTCCTGTCACTTTCTTGATCCATCTCAGCAGCCTGCACATAACATGGAGGCAGTAAACAATTGAAGTCTTGTCATTCTCGAACTTTTGTCGCCGGTTTTCTGCTGGACGACGGAGGTCGCCGGAATCCGGCGACGGAGTACACCGGACTTCACTGAAATTCGAAAACCCTTTTGGCAAACGGTACCAAATTTCGCGACAAGACTAAGAATTTTCCTACAATTCGCAGGAAAAACAGTAATCGAACCGTTGAAAAATGAGATGTTTACGGTTTGCGAGGAGTCTCTATTCATTTGTATAGTTATTATTATTATTATTAATATATATAAAATATTAAGGAAATTGAGGAAACCAGAAGGTTCTCTAGCTTTCACGAGAGAACGTACGTATATATATAAACCCCACCTTCAAATGTCTCCACCATCAGACTATTCAGTGGCTCTCGCTCTCGAAGAAGAAGAAGGAGAAGAGGAAGGAGGAGAAGGTAACGACCGATCGATCGATCCTCGGTTCTTCGTCGCCTGCTCTCTCTCTCGATCGCCGGAATGGCTTCCGTCTCCGCCCGTTGCGGCGGCGATCGACGAGCGGGCGCCGCGGTCTGAACGGTGCTCGAAGCTCGTCAACTTTGTCTGTGGTTTTCTTTCTTCTTGTTTTCTTGGCGGAAAGATTCGAGATGTCTGTGAAGTTTTCGCGTGCTTATTGCTGCAGACCGAACGAGGGATGTTTAAGGAGTTTCCTTTGACTTAGGTGAAGTTTCGCGCGGGTGTAGCCGATTGTTTTTTGCTTGGGATTGCGTGGGCAGTCGTGGGTCGGTGTGTGTTCGTGTTCTTTTTTCTCTTGCGGTAATGGCATGCAACTGCGTGGGGTATGTCTGGAGATCAATACTAGATAGCTGCGGGGCAGACGAACGTGTCTCGTGGGTAAATTGAAAGAGGAATTGGGTGGCTACGCTCTGTTATTTTGTGTGGTAGTATGGTGTTCAGCAAAGAGTATTTTGTGGAGTTTGTATCGACGGATCGTCGTCTTGGCTGAGTTTATGGAGTTTTGCTTTTGTCTCCTCAATATGTGAGCACTAGGGAGGGTTTCTTTCCACTCAAAACCTTTTAAGTGCAATTTTCTGGTCGTGCACAAGAGGTAGAGTACGCATATTCATGGTTGATTCGTGTTGCTGTTGTCGGCTGTCTTTACTCTGGAGAAGGCTTCGCGCGTCAAACTGTCTAGAGCCAATTATCAATATGATGTATTCTTTCTTCTATTTTGGTCCAAAAGAAGTTCTAGTGGGAGTCGGCTTTTTGCGCTTTACTGTATTCTTCTTTAGATTGCTGCAAGAATATGAAGGGACTAGAGAAAAGCAGAAACACCCCCTCATTTGTTGTAGTGTGGAAAGCCCAAGTAGCAAGGAGTGCGTTTGATTGTTGGAGTTTGTCAAATGTCGTGAGCTGCCATATGGAAAAAATATGTCCGTTGGAAACTGCCTGAGTGTGAGAATTCTTGTTAAAAGAAGATTCATGCATTTTCTATATGATGATTTGTCTTCCTCGCTTACTCCTGCTATTCTTCTGCTGTTCTTCTCTGTTCCACTTACATACTGAGTTTTTCTTTGTGATGTAATATGTTATCTTTAAGTCAACTCATACCCATGATTTTTTTATTTTGTGTTCCCTGGACAAAATACTTGAACAATCAGTACTTCTTGTTGAACTTACATTCAAGAGCTAATTTCTCATTGTTTCTTAGCTCCATACTTTTAGGTCTATGCCGAAGATCAATGATGTTCACCAAAATGAAATTTGTTTGTTTCTTCTAGGAGATTCTGCATCTTGATAATGCAGAGGGGAAGACAGGGAAGGGAAGATTTCTTCAACATGGGTGACCCTTTTAGCAGTTACCGGGGGTTTGGCAGTTTTCCTACCCTTTTTGGTGGAAGAGATCCATTTGCCGATCCATTTTTCACACGTCCTTTTGCTAGCATGCTCAATACTGGTGTGTTTGGTCCTGGCTATCCAATTGATGATACTCCATCCTCCAATAATTCTAAGGGGCTTGTCATTGAAGAACTGAACTCTGATGATGAAGGAGGTGCTGAAAATAAAGAAGATACAAATCACGAGACAAATGGTAATGATGGGCATCAAAGGCATGATGCATCTATCAGAGCACCGTCTGTTGAGCACCCAGATGATGATGCTCATGGTACAAGAATAATATCTCTGCTATATATGAACAGTTTTATTCTGGGTATCATTAAACATGTTTGTTCGAGTTAATCACTGTTTCCCTATAATATGGTTTGGGTAGCAGAGAACAGGAGCAATGTTATTTACAGGAGTGACAGGAGCAGGGTTGGTGAGAAGAATAATCGGGGTCGAAGTTTCAGTGTAGAGAGTTGCAAAGTCACCTATGGTGGTGTGGATGGAGCATACTACACTTCCGCAAGAACTCGAAGAACTGACAATGATGGGGTAATGAATGAATGCATTGGTACCTGTGCTCTCCTAGTCTCACAGTAGAAATGTTTCGTCATTTCGGTACTGTGCTCATGCATCAGGTTGTGCTTGAGGAAAGTAAAGAAGCAGATGCAACAACCGGTCAAGCAACACATAGGATTTCTCGTGGTATTCATGATAAGGTCTGTGCTCTGTCATCTTTCCACTACTTCGTTGAGAAAATTATGGAGGACATCATTTTGCTCTTTGCAATTTCAATGTTTTTATGCTTGCCTAATTGATCATTTGCATCTTATCATCCATTATACTCTGGTTTGAAGAGGCAAAGAGGAACAAACTTAGAATAGATAGAAATTAGGCATTATGCTTTAAAAAAGAATTTGTAGAGGATCATTCTTATTTGTTTCTCCTGTACGGCCTCATATATACTGCCAGGGCTCCAGTGTATAGCCGTGTCTGGGTACTTGTTATTCCTTTGGTAACAGAAGCTGCAGAGGCAGACATAGGCAGCAACAGATGGCAAAACATTATTACCATCTGCGGTGATAGTGCCAACCCGACACTTAGTGGGATAAGGCATGGATGGTGCTGGTTGTTCTGGTGGTAATAGCAGTCTATATGAAAAGAGTTTGATTATATAGTTTTTGACATGATTTACCATTCTCTGTAATGATTTCTGAGCTGTTAAGAACAGAGTAAGGAAATTGTTCCTTAGGAGGCTAACGGTGAATTTTCTCTCTCTCATTCTTGGCGGTAATTGATGATACTATAGGGTCATTCGGTCACAAGGAAGCTTGGCTCAGATGGCAAGGTGGACACAGTGCAAACCTTGCACAATCTGAATAAAGGTTAGTGTGATCATCCTTTGGTACTTCGCTTGGATCTGATTAATCCTTTTGTGTGAATATTGTCATGTGATGGACGTGAGTACGACTAATAGAAGGAATGTATCAGATGAACTTGCTGGTTTTGAAGAAGCATGGAAAGGTAGTGGTAATGGGCCATCACCTGAAGGGAGCCATGATTATGATTTGCAGCAGAAAGCGGGTAAGCTTTAATTGGCTGGAAACCATGGATTATTTCAAGAATCTCTAGATGTTGGGCATTTTATGTAGGCTTTCGTTCAATTACACAAGATGTTATACTTTTTACTATCTTAACCTATGTCAATGAAGGTGTGTACTTGCTCCCTGATGACGGGTCGGTAAGCATGTATGAAGTTAAGAACTTTCTAGCAACTTTTCGGTGACAGTACAAAGTAAAGAACTTTGTTCGGCAATTTCCAGTGTCCAGTGATATGCTTTCTTGGGGTCACTTTTAGTGGTTGCGTTCAGTTATATATTTTCTTGCGAGTGGTTTAATGTAAAGTATCGAGTTGCCAGGAGGTGTCACGTGTCGGCTCTCAGTTGGGTTTCTGACATGGCTTCTCGATTATTGAGTACATTGATGACTTATAAACTTTTGGTATAAAGAATTTCTCCTTACCCATATGACATGTCCCTCAGTTTGTCATTAAGTTGATAATGAAATGAACAGCTATTACCCAAAGCACAAGATATTAGTTGATTTCTAGATTTACATTCTTAAAATAGGAGAACTGGCAAATAAGTTAATTTCGGTGGCATCATAGAAGCTGTCGAGTTCTTTATCATTTCTTCCTGTTCGATGTGTGTCTGTACACAGCTGTTGTATGTATGATTGGATTCATCATCTTTACGTTATACTTGGGGCAATTTTTCATGGCAACTGGATTTCTACATTTGGGAGATGATGATATAATTTGACACCCAGGCTTACTTGTATCCTTTGATGCAAGATGGTGATGTCGATCGACCTTTTATCTGATCCCCTTTAGTTAGATGGAGCTACCTCCTCAGTCATGAATTTAATTTCGAATCCCCTTTTTACTTTGTGGTTGACAATTAATTGATTGGATCACAGTGTTACGGCAACGGTATAAGGAGCTATAGGCATGTGCTTTTGTAATATTCTTTCTATATTCACAGACTCATTCCGTATTAATGCATGTGGGTTTCTGATGTAGGTCGTGGCAGTGATGCACAGAAAGGGAGCTCAAGCTCTGGAGGGTGGGCGCTTCCATCTGCAGATCAGATAATGAGGCCTGGCGGAATGGTGCCCCATTATGCAGCAAGATCTGCGCCTTCTTCTAATGAGAGGACTAAAAAGGTGGTTAGGATCAATATAGACTAGATTACAAGATCAATTTTTGTTTCTTGTGAGATTTGTCGTATCTGATCGATTGTATGTCGAAGCGAAGAACTTATAGCTTCTTGTCATGATATTTCTCCGTATGCTAATCAGCATTGTAGCACTTACTATTTGTACATGTCAAACAAATTTGAAAATCCTTGCATGTGTTTGATCTCCTTCAATTGTCAGGGGAGATCTGCTTCTCCACTGCCAGGCACTTTTCTGGTTTTGGAGGAAAGTAGTGCCAATTTTACCTTGGCAGGTCGTGTCTCACTTTGTGGGTAATTTCTGGGGATCATGAATGTGAGAAAATACTTGGTAGTGGTGCTGAATATAGGGACGGCCTTTGAAGAATCCAATGGAAACTTGGAAACTTACTTGTTTACCGGATAGCAGGATGTTTAACTTATATGAAAATCCTGATCACCCAAAGCTCTCTATCGGGTCGGCTCACGTGCGACCTACTGCAGTGTGAGCGCTTAATTTACCATGTCAAAGTACGGAAAAGAGTTGGTACTTTAAAGATGGTAATTCAGGGAAGATTTCTAACCGTCACTTAGCTGACGGTGTTCTCCAGTCGAGAGCCTCGTAGGAAATAAGAAGTCGTGATCTTAGGTAGTTAGTTATTGTCATGATTGAATGCGTTTCCTTTAGTTTTTCTCTTTTACCTCTTTTGGTATCTTCCGTCAATCGTCTATTGCCGATCTTGGCGCCTCTTACCTTCTCCTGCAAGACTTGTTCTTCGGGGTCGAAGTGGTCCTCATGGATATCACACAATCACTATAATTGACTTATCATACCACGTCAAGTACGCAATCATTATGCAATATTTTCTCCAGAAGAGTGAAGGAGAATTCCAAAAGAGTAGGAGAGTGGAAAGGAGTTCTACTCCGAATCTTCAGCATGAAAAACCGAGTCTTCAGAAACGACAGTTTAAGAATTAACTCTATCAACATCCATGATGGTGTATGAACCAAATGGTCTATGTCAAGAATTAGTCGGCCGGACCCGAATGGTCTATGTCGAGAATTATTCGGCTGGATTTCCAAGTGGAATCTTTCTTTCACGAAACTGTACTATTGACGTTGAAACCAAGGAAGTCTTTGGAGCAAAGGCTGTCGAATCTTTTGTTGTAGGTTGAAGCGACTCCGCAAGCTTGACGATCCTTGATTTGGCTTCAATTCCTGAAGATGCGCTACTCTCTGACCTTTTCTTCTTTTCTTCTAGTAATCTCCCTAGCTGATCAAACAAAAACTTCTTCTTTGTTTCTTTTGGCACTTCAGAAAGATAGATCAATGTTTGTATCGATTATTCTTAGTTCTCTTGAATTTGGAATTCAACCGACGGAACCTGCGGCACATATCCAGCGTGCATTCTGACCATTCTTATGGGTCGACTCATCTACTCTCCTTACTGCTCTAATTTCAAGAATTCATTCAAGTTGGTTAATTAACGGAGGCAGTTTCATCCTGTCGAGATGTAGCTAGCTGCTTGTTCGAAGAAACCTCTCTCGGATCAGATGTGCATAGCTGCAAGGCTTACATTATTTAAAACATCGGAGTGTCGCAATTTCCATCGCATACGAAAAGAGATCCATAACAGTAAAAAGGGATAACAGTAACAGCTCCATCTTTCAATTTGCAAGTCTCTTCCAATAATTAGTAGCGGTCGATGGTGACCGGCTTCCATTCAAGAATCAGGATCAAGACCAGGGCCATTTTGCATCCCTCCAAACAAAACATCGATCAACGCAACTTTTGCCAGATGAACTATCCGAATTGGTTCCAGTAGGTGGTGAATCTTTCATTCCATCCGGATGAAATGCCTCGCAACATCGAAGTCCTCGATCACGTTCCGCTGCTTCCTCTCTGTACATGGGGTTTGTATAGCGTGGGTGCTGGATGAACGACACATTTTTCCACCAGAGCTTAAAAGCCTGAAAAAGGAGAGAGAAAGACAGTGAACAGACAAATGGTGTCGAATAGCTCACAATCTTGAGGACATTAGGGATCGACTTACAGATGTCGTCTAAAAACATGAGAGAATACTAGCAAAAGATTACATCCTCAGTTCAGGTGACTACGCAATTTCAACTGTTCATCTACATTTGTCAGTTTGACCTTCATTGACCACCTTGGCAGACTCAGCATCTCAAAGCGGTGACAAGACTCTGAGTCAATCGTATCCTCCAAATAACATGTACAGAACTAATTCCAACTGGTTAAATGTGGACAATGTAACGTGCAAATTAGGATAGGTAAAGAGATGAAAGTGGAAGGGCCCAAATCCCAATCAAACAGCTTTATCCATCTTAATCGGTGATGATGATCCAACTTTGTTGTCAAGGGAAAATATCCAAGGCATCCACCTTGGTTATTGTAAGAAAGAACAATAGGTTCAGTACCCCAGTTAGCATATATTGGTTCAAGATTCCAGACAGCAATCTTAAATAGTCGTAATTTTGTCCATGCTCCCACTAGTCTTGTAGAACTAATCTAGGGGCGGAGAGAATTATAATTCTATTCAAGCCACCAACAACAAACGAACCATGCATGTTTAGTCATTGACAGGCCTTCAGCTATAAACAATCCTTGCATCACACTCACACAAAGCACTGTATGTCAGAGTTGTCTATTCATAGACTGAACCAGAGGTGGGTGGAACTATTGCATATGGGACTTAAAACCATGATCATGAATTAAAACAGAACATGGTAAAACTCAAACCAGTAAAATGACTTATCTAGGGACAAATTCTTTCAGTTTTGGCACAACGGTAAGTTGGTCAGAACAAGGTCAAAGAAGCAAGCCAAATATAGAAGCAAACAATGAGAATTTCGTTTTTATAACGTAGCTAAGAAATTCACTTGACGGTGTTGTATGTAATTAATCCTTGTGAAACTCAATCAGAGTTCTAAAAGCCCATTTGGAAGCATTCCCAACCTTCACAAACTCCTGAGGAATGACCTTTCTCACGGATTTCACCCCCGACTACTTTGTTGGGTACTAAATCTATATGAGATATGGTCTGCCCTAACCAAAAACATTATCGTACCTAAATTTGTCAGGCATCTCTCCTCTTAATAACTTCACCTGTAAGATATTTGATCTTCCATAGGTTTACCCACAACAAAGCTGACAACGGGATAATAAAGGCCTAATTCAATCCTGGCATGACTTCAGGAAAGGAAAGTTAAAAAAGAAATACCCAAAAAAAAGGAAAATAAAGGGTTTTACTGTCTAAGCTGATAAGCAAAGCTACAGAGATTGTAAAAGACAGTTGCACTCACATGCCAGTATATCCATAATGCCACCTTATGAGGCATCAACCAGAAGAATGTTGCATGATTCGACAGGGTTGACGAGGAAACTCTTTTGGCTTTCAGGGTAGCTGTGAAGTAGTTACCAAGCTTGGGATGCTGAACTGAAATGGCCACATATAGATTGTCCCTGGGAGCATTTGCTTTTATAGTCCAATTCCCAAGCATGTCCTGCAATTACTTTAAGCAGAATAAAGTGTAATAAGTTATTCTTCCTAAAAGATTCGAAAGATAAGCAAAGAGACTGAACAAAAAACTACATGCTATTTTTCAAGGAAAAGGTTTGTGTACTGTGCAGATTTCTGATACCTCTTGATAAACTTCTGCTATGTTATGATAGAGAAACGAACTATTGCAATGATAATGATAAGCAAAGTATTGCAGACACTTTGTTCACGATTTAAATTGAATTGCCTATTTTCAAGTTTAAGTGAGTGAGAACATTCATATAATGGGAGATAGCAATATTATCAGAAGTTGGAAAACCTTAGATGAATTTTTGCATGGGTAGGTCTTCCATAAAGTTTTAAAATATTTTCAGCTAACAAAGAGTGAGGTTATATCTGGCAAGTCAGCAATTCAACAGGAGTCCAGCTGGAGTGCAAAACATCCAAAAGTGGAGGTGCACAAAACTTTTCTCATCTGCTATATTAAACTTGACATGGTAGTAGGGAGGCACATGACAGGCTTAGGAGACCACAATTTTAAGAGAAGGGACATCATTTTCACTCTCCAAGGTACGTTGAAGCTTCTCTCTTAGGTCATCCATCACTTGGTCTACGTATTCTAAAGTAATCAATTTCAAGTTCTACACCATGCGCATAAAATTTGAACTTTGACACTGTTCTCTAAGATGTTTTATGCTTTTCCTATATTGACTTGGCAATGATATACACAAATCAATTTGATAGTTGGTACTGACATGTTAAGATCCAATCACTAGTCACAGGTACAAAGGGAAAGCATCACTTGCCTCTTGTGAAAAACAATTATTGCTGAGTGAATAAAATTCACATCTACATAGTTAAGCCAACTTGTAAATGTCAAAGTAATCAGGCATACATAATAAATATCATAATTATGGGACAGCTAAGGACAAAAAGTGCAAGGGCAAAGTAAGAACTTTAACGTCCTGGTGGCACAGATGCTCTAGTTTTTGCAAACTGTCTAGTGGATGCCGTTATTTAAGCATATATGGATAAGGCACTCCATCGATACAATGAAGATGGGACCCTCATGGATTGCCCAAACCTTCTAAAATAATCTTTTTGTCGCGCAAAGAACTAAAAGCAGAGAAAAGAGAACTACGTGAGCCAACAGAATTGTACATACCATGAATGGACTGACATGCAGAGGCTTCGCAACCAAATCAGAATTTGGATTGAAAACAAACAAGACCCTCTCACCCCATGGTGTATTAGTTACCTATACCAACAACAGTCCATCAACTAACTGCAAATGCTAAAATAAATGTAAACATCTTCACAAAAAACACGATGTCAAATCATAAATATAATTGCCAGTTGATATAGAGAACAGTTTTAACCTTGGATGGTTGAAGTCGGCAGCCGTAACAACAACGGCACAAACACCAAGCAAGAAAGATACTTCAAATGCATTTACACGAGAATTGGATGAGAATATATGGGATAAGATGGTCGGCAATATATTCCCGTGACTTTACTGTAATACATATAATAAAAGTGGTGGCACTAAATTTGACATTTCCATTCAAGTCCCTTACACCCCTGCATCATGCAGATTTCATACTAACAATCCTACGTTTCCGAATTTATAGTTTCACCTATTAATGCTTTAAATACATGCACTAATCATGTGCGGATCACTATTTAATCAATCCAAATGAGCCAAAAGACTGGATGGAGTCATAATTAGCAGATTGTCCAGTATCCACAACTGTATAATCCATATGATATACGTTTGGCTGGCTGGTATACATTTCCGGAACAGGCGAGTCTCTAGTTTGATGTCCAATAATACCCTAATAAATAAAGCACACCAACAGCCCCTCTACATAAACCAAATTCCCAGGATGCTCATAGCACTAACTGCAGTCAGTCGCCTAGGTCTTAAATTCCGCACATTTCCATAGGACTAAAGGGTATCAATGGGTTTGAATCATACTTCAGTGTTGATGCTACAAGACAGTCAAAAGCGGTTCTCCAGATTTCGAGAAAAACAGGTTTGTGAGCATTTTGAACAAGCCAAAATATGTGTCCCTACAATCCATGGAAAGCTTTTAAGCAGATGAACTGGAAGACTCATTATACCTCAGCAATGCACTTGTGCAAATGTTGAGTGGCACCTTTTAGATCGTAGCAATAGTACAAGCTCAATGGGTTCTGTTCATACCCCACACTAGGAGGTATTGTCAAGAGAAATCTGCAAAAGAAAAATGAATACATTAGCTTCCAGAACACTGCACCTTAATAACTAGAGCTTAGTAAAAGATAAATTGAACCAAACAAGAAGAGAAAAGATTACAGAAGTCACACATTGAAAATATAGCAAACCAAGGAACTAAATCATAGTTGTGGTTGCTGTGGGTGTTGCCGACGTTACGTAATGGGTCGTGGCCGTGTGAACTTTTTTGTTAAAGTTGCACAATATGTTTTAAAAGGGAAAACCTCTTACGACTTCACTTACCAAATCCACTACTCTGCTAATTTTTTCGACATTTGATCGATTCTATGTAACAACATACAAGACTCTAACCTTATCACTACTTTGTTTAACTCTCCTATCTCAACATTAGATAGTGTCATACATAAGAAAAACTTGGTTTTGATTTGTAGAAAGAGGATTTCTATCGATCAGTTTCATGCTAACTAATGATATGAACCATTCAAACAACAAATCAGAAAAGTTTTTTAAAAAAAAATATGGCCAGTGAAGTGATAAGAGTAGGACTTGTTTGGCACAGAAAAATTCTGGGACTTCCATTTGAATACAAGAAAAGCTTAAGCAAGCCCAAGCGAAGCCGATGACTGTACTATTTTCAAGGGAATTGGTCAATTACTCAGCCCCTAACTCGTTCTTTCTTTGAAAAGCAGCAACTTTCATCTCTCTCTCTCTCTCTCTCTCTCTCTCTCTCTCTCTCTCTCTCTCTCTAGTAGTCAGAACCAGACATTTGTTTCTTTAAAAGAGAAGATCTTGCTTGCTCGAATGCTGGAAGCCTGGAATCGAGGTTTCATTTCGCAACCACATTCTTGAAATTACTTCACGAAGCACGGCGCGACAGAATCAAACTACACGCAAAAAGAGAAAGAGCAGAAATTCTTACATGGGTCCGTTTGTACCAGCGAACCGCCGCGCCTCGTCGGCGGAGAGGTGGCCGGCCGCCGCACCGGGCGGCGCGCCGTCGAGGTCGACGAGCGCGTACCTCACGGCGTACCGGAACGAGTGGCGGACGGGGCGGCGGCGCTCGTGCCAGACGGTGCCCTCGTAGAGAGCCGCCGCCCCGCAGCCGCCGCCGCCGCAACCGATCCGGGAGGAAAGGGCGGCGGCGGCGCGCGGGGGGAGCAGCCGCCGGAGGAGGGCGTGGACGGGCAGGAGGAGGGAGAGGGCGAGGGAGGTAAAGCACGTGGAGACGATGGAGCACAGCAGAAACAGAGCCTCCATCGCTGGATCATGTGGCTGTGGAAACGGCCATGTCGGAGGCTCTTTTCTTAGCTTCTTCGTCGCGTCCTCAACCGTCGGATCAATCGATGGCCCGATCGTGTCCGTCCGTTTTCTTGACTTCCGCGAAGTTGACCGCTTCACCCCCCAGGTCAACCTCGGGGTGTAATCCGGACCGTTCGATTTCCACAGCAAAACCATCGGCGCTATGATAGAACAGACCGTGAGATTGACAAGAGGAGAAGATGAGTTCCGGCCATCGGCACGGTCGCCGACGGCGGCGGTCGCCCCGGCTATGCGGGGGCTCTAGATTTTATGGTGCGCACGATCGCATTTTTCCTATTAACAGTTGGCATTATCTATAATTAAGGTTGCGTTTATTTCACGTAAACTCAATATTTAGAAAATATTTTTCAAAAAATGATTCGTTATATAACATAGAAAAATTAATCCACGAAAAATGTTTTTATTTTTAATAACAATTTATACCTAATTATTTTCGTGGTGATGAAAATATTTTTCATTTATTTATTTTCGTAAGAGATACATGCAATTATTTTTCGAAATATATTTTCCAAAATTTAAGTTTTTCGTGAAACAAATGCACCCTATAAAAACATTAATTTCTCTTACCATAATTTGTAGATTGATTTCAGTATGATGGTACTTACGCAATTTGTCTAAATTCATGAATAGTTATGCAATGAGATCAAGGAAGTAGAAAGTTATTGGAGATATGCTTTTCTTTTCTTTTTTACCAGAAATGGGAAATGTGTTAAATACGTCCCCTTTTTTTCTCTTTCTATTAGTTTTTTTTTTTTGGTCTGATTTCTATTAGTTTATGTATAGGTAATTTTGGAAGTGAGACGAATGCTATTTTTGACTTAAATATAAAGATGTATAATTCATTCGTATCTTTTAATCAAGTTAATATTAGGGTGGAGCTATTTTTACCTCATATATGACTGAATCCATCTCATTTTCATCAAAGAGACAAAATTATCTTTAATCATTCAATTAAAAGTTAAAGTGGCGGACCTCAAATCTAATCGCTTTCCTTTTTTTTAGTTTTTTTATATTTTTATACAAGATCTAGTTGTCATGATTAAAAATATAACATGTATATTTAAAATTTAAGTGGCTATTTATTACAAGCACAAAAACACTATTTTTTTATTTTTAGATTTTACCTATTTAAATATTACCTTTGTCAAAAATTTCTAAGAAACACAATATGTTTCACTTTATCAAGCAAATTCATGGATTAGTTGTCAAGTAAAATGTAGAAAAATTTGAACATGAACAACTTTTTTAAGACGGTAAAATATTATATAAAGTTTTATCTTTTTTTGCATGCATATCACCACCAAACTCTTTCTTATTAATTATCTTTTTGCTTGCATATTACTACCAAACCTCTTTTAGATTTTTTCAAAATAAATGACAATTACATCCCCCTATGCGAAATGTAAAAGATGAAATTAAGCAAAGCTATGCATAAATAAGGAAAAATTAAAATGAATTTAAATTTCTTTTATTTTTTATTGTCAAGAGTGAATGTTATTCATGAAGAGTTTGCAAAAAAATATCAAGGTGCCTCAATCTTCATAACTTAAAGCAATTACAAGGACATCATATGGGGGCTATTTACTTATATTTTTGCTCACGTCTCTTAAATAAGTGGTCAATGTCAAGTGCAATTTTCTCAACAAAGATTACTTTAAAATTTGACAATCTAATAAATGATTTCTTAATGTCATAGTAATTATGATTCTAATTATAATTTGAAATAAGGGTCTGTTTATTTCATGAAAAATGAATGATTTGAAAAATAATTTTCTAGAAATAATCGCTTATATTACTTGAAATAATTAGTCAATGAATTATTTTTTATTTTCAACAGCAATTTATATTTAAACATTTTCATGGCCAATGAAAATATATTTCGATCATTCATTTTTGCAAGAAATACAAACGATCAATTTTAGAAAAAAAAATTTGAAATCATTCATTTGCCACGAAATAAACGCATTCTAAATAACACCCCACTTTCATCTTCCCTTCTCTTCTGAAACTAGTTTTTCTACTTTTAACCATTGAGACAAGCAAAGAGGAATGGGAGAAACATGTCAGAAAAATGACAAAAGTCCCATGAAAATTGTCTTCTTCTTTTTTTTTCTTTTTTTTTTCTTTTGCCATGCCATGGAAATTTTCTTGGATTATGAAAAATTACCGGCCTTTTCTTTTTGGCCAAATAAAAAAAATTTATGGTCGGCTGTTACTATCAATGCAAGCGACATGATCGCACTTAGATTCATGTACTTGTTAATTATACATGTTTTGGTTTGGACATTGACCACGCCAAAATATAATAACTATATAATCACTCGATTATTTGTCTTGAAAGGAAATTATAATTTGTACAGATGTTATATTTCTGGTGCAACTCCAGTATTCCTTTTTTTTTTTTCTTGTTTCAATTTTAAGAGGGAGAGAGGTCTGTATGAGGTGAATAATAATGATGATTATAATTAAGTCTATCTCTACCAATTTTTGTCAACCAAAAGTATATTTTATTTTTCAGTGATATTTCTTTTTAATCACTTAAGTAATCAGTTTTAATTCGTTATATCTAGAAGGAACAATGTCTCAGCAACAAGAAAGTGCAACCCATGCTTCACGAGCAAACTGCTTACCATGTCCTCCTTGTCTCTTGCAAAATTGATGCAAATTGTTCCTATTTAAACGAATTAAATATTATATTGTGTTACATATAAAGGAACATGACAGCTAGCTGTGAAATATGTTGGGGAGTGTGCAAAAGATGATGAGCAGAAAATATAAATAAACCATTTTTCCAAGATTCAGAGAAATCCATCTGAAAATCTAAAAATGACAACTGAGGAAATTAATTAAAGAAAATTTTGTAATTTTTTCAAGTCTTTGTTGTCTAGCCAACATGTGGGAGACTCGCAGTCGACATGTTGGAGACGTACATGCCCTTTATTTCACATTAAAAAAAAAGAGGGAAAATTTTAAAAATAGAATAAAAATAAATAGACTTGATTGCAGTTGTGACCTAGAAAATATATGGTCTAGGGCAAGCAATAATGTAGAGAGAAACGAATAAACTCGGAACAAGTACGTGTAGGCCAATGCATGCATGTGCATGGCAAAAACAATGGAGAGAAATGGCACCGGCCATGGACTTGCTAAGATTAAATTATGTTTGGTCTAATCAAGTACTCTGTCTATCCATAATTGAGAAATTCTAAGTCTCGGGACTCGACCCTGCACGGGCGACGGAAACTACCAAGTTAGGGTACGGTAATGGCAAAAGGAATTTACGATGAATAAATAGACTCCAAATTGTGGGCGTTCAGGTGAGCAGGTAATTTTTAGCTTAACAAGTTTGTCCGTAGAAGATTAAGCAAAAGCAAAAGTTACACGACCTTTTCGGATTATTATTTTCCGTTAGATAAACATGTCCTAAGCCTGTTGACAGCGAAAAGAATTATAAATATCGTAAATCAAGAAATACATGTATAACATTTGAGCTACTGTGCGTTCGATGATCCTATGTAAAAGGTTCTTTTGGAGGGAGTGGATCTAATGAAGGTTCCACGAGTACATATATCATGAGGATATCAATCCAATTAGATCCAAAATGTAGCTCAAGCCATAGAGATAATCTAGGTTCCAAACAAAACAATAATACATCGTTATACAAAATATATGCACCATAGACATATAGCCATTCACATGGTAACAAAATTTGGTTTAGACCTCTAATTTCACTTTTCATAACCCAAACATGAATTTTCACACAAGATCTCCCATTTGCTAAGTCTAAATCTTAGTAAATAATACAATTTTTGGAGTGAAACCGTGTGACATGTGTCGGCCCAATTCCATAAAAAACCCCAAACTTTAACTTTTGTCCCAATTATATCCCAAATTTTTTTTGTCTCATAAAAAACTCCAAACTTTTACTTTTGTCCCAAATATACCCGTTTACTATTCATCCAATTTTTAATATTATTTTTCAATTTTTTCTTTTCTTTTTTTTTCACCTTCAACCTCCTGGCGGAGGTCGGCCCACCGGTCTTGGCGTGGTGAGCCTTGGGCTACGGCGAGGCTCGGCCTCGCCCGCAGCACGGCGAGCCGACCTCGCCCGGCCTTGTGGGCCGAGCTCGGCAGTATGGCGAGGCTCGGCCTCGCCCGGCTAGCAGCGGCCGAGCCTCGCCGGTGGCGCGGGGCCGACCTCGCCGGCCGGAGGTTGAGGGTGAAAAAGAAAAAAAAGAAAAGAAAAAAATTCGAAAAAATAATATTAAAAAATGGATGAATAGTAAGCGGTAGATAGGACAAAAGTAAAGTTTGGTTTTATGGACAAAAAATTTGAGATATAATTGGGACAAAGTCTAAAGTTAGGGTTTTTTAGGGAATTGGGCGGACATGTGTCCCCGTTACTTGTTTGATTTTCACTAGTGCCTCACATGTCTCTCTCTCTCTCTCTCTCTCTCTCTCTCCAGTGATTTCACATCACATCACTCTCTCAACAAAATTACAAATCATTCCAAGAAAAACAATAAAAATAACAGATAAAAAATAAAATATTAATGCCTGCTCCAACCAATCAATTGTCTGACCATAGTCCCCTCAACCACGAACCTTCCCTCAGATATTCCCATACAGGCGTACAGATTAATAAATAAATAAAATCAATTCCTCCCAAAAAATATATATAATTAATTTCTCTAATTTCACATCCTATGTATATATAAATTATTAAATATAGGGCTAGTCACTTTCCAACTTCACTCCCAAGAAGCAACCTAAGTTCCTGTCATCTCTTTCAAAAGAAACCTGTTCCCAAGGAAACTCAGAATGGCTTGCTGGTCATCCGAAAACGCCACAAAAGCATACCTCAGGGCCTTGAAAATGGTAAGCAGAAGAGTTCTTTCATTTTTGCGAAGTTCAGTTTTATCAAGATCGGATCAGGGCAGGCGTTAAATGCTGCATGAAATGAAACCGAGTAAGGTCCAACGCGAGCCGTGATCGTTTTTTGTGCAGGGGAAGAGAGGGAAAGAGCCTGATTCGGCAGAGTTCATATCTGCGCTCGCGGCGGGAAACAATGCGCGGCTCATGGTGATGGTGCCGTCTCCCCACGGCGCCGTCGAGGATGCCTCCATGACGCTGGCGCTTGTCGCAGCCGCGCACCAGACGGGCGGGCGGGTCGTCCACGTCTCGCCCGGGCTGGACGAGTCGAGGGCCTCTAGGGACGCGCTCGGGCCTCACGCCCGGCGCGTCGAGTTCTTGGTGGGGAAACCGAGGACCCTTTTGTTGGACGAGCTCAGAGGCGCGGATTTCGTGCTCCTGGATTGCAGAGGCGACGACCCGCGCGGGGTGTTCGAGGCGGCGCGGGAAGGCGGAGAGGGCGATGGCGGAGGGATCATTGTGGGGTACAATGCCCTTCACAAGGGCACATTGTGGAGAGGATTGAGAGCTCACTTTTTGCCAATAGGGGAGGGACTTATGTTGACTAGGATTGTGAAAGATGCTAATATCGGCGGCGGTAGCGGGTGCAGGAAGAAGAGCAGGTGGGTAGTCACGGTGGACGACTGCACCGGCGAAGAGCATGTTTTCAGGATCGTTTCGCCGCAGAGGAAAGTGATTGAAGCTTGAGGACGAGATTCATTTGGTTTTGGGATCTGCCAAAGAAACAGAGAGGACCAAGACTTCTACTGGATCTGTATCTGGTCATCCACACTTAACTCCTAAAATTTTGCGAATGTAAATAGCGATTAATTGTATACGTAATGACAATCTACGGTTTTTTTCTTTTCTTTTCTATATGCAAGTTGTGTTTTCTGCAGAGTTTGCCTCTTTTTCACCCTCGAAGTGTGAGGGGGGAAAGAAACTTTTGAGAACATACTGACATTTCGGCACAATCTAAAGCGGGGACTTAAACGTTCGATTTCACCAAAGCAAATTGCGGTTCGCCAAACACGTCATCAAATCGGAACACGATCAGTCTTTTTTTTAGCATTCTTATGAGTATAATGCATAGAACACCCTCTAACTATCGAGAGTCCTGAACACAACGCATACCGGTTACATGCTTTGATGCATTACAAGCTTACTCATGCCCTTACTTTCCCCTAACAACTATTACGAAGGCTGATGCTTAAGAGAGAAATTCGTTGACCTCTAGAGAGGATGCCGTTGCCGATACGTCAGGGATTCCGTGATTAACCCAGCAGTTAATTGGAATTGTCATAGTCTCGCCTCTCGGCGACTGAAAATCGCGGTAACAAGTGATAGTGCAACTGTCAAGAAATGCCAATCAGAGTATTAAGTTCCTGCACCACAGTTCTCATCGATGGCCTGTCGGTAGGAGAGTCCCGGGTGCAAAGAAGAGCAATCCAAGCGAGTTGGGTCGCCTCGGTCTCCGTGAAGTTCCCTTCAAGGTTCTCATCGACAAATTCCTCAAAACAACATGCTTCCACTCCGTGCCGGATCGCTGGAGTGATCACAGCCTTCCCCGACAGGATCTGGAGCACCAGAACACCAAAGGCGTACACGTCGCTTTTCTCGGTGAAGTAGCCAGTGCTTGTGTACTCCGGAGCGAGGTAGCCCATGGCAGCGCTGGCCTTGAGCATGGCGAAGACTACATCGTCTGCGAGGAGGTGGTGCAGACCCGAGTCCGACAGCAGCGGGTTGTTCCAGTGATCGATGAGAACTTTCTCGGCCGATATTGACTGGTGGACTAGCCTGGGTTTGTCTCCTTTATCTTCATGGATGTAGCTGATACCTGTAAAAAAGAAGAGGAATGGAAGAAACTGAGGGGCATCGCAGTGTCCCAAATTGATGAATTGAAGCAACGGATTAACATTTACCTTGAGCGACGCCAACTATGATAGCAACTCGGGTAGGCCATTCGAGAACCTTCCCGCTTCCAGGCTTCGTGTCAAGATACTGCAGCAAATTCCCGTTTGGCACAAACTCATAGATCAGGAAGCACTCGCCTCGCCCTTTCGAGCAGCAAAATCCCCTTAGCCTGACGAGCTTTTCGTGCTTTATTTTGGTTAGGAGCTTCAAGCCCTTGAGGACTTCAGCCTCGTCGGACTTGCAGCTCATCTTGGCATAGCGCTTTACCGTGACAGCTGACCCGTCCCTGAGAATTCCCCTGTGAACAGAAGAGAAGCTGGTCTTCTCCAACAAATTGCTCTCCAGGAAAGACTGGGTCGCGCGCTCCACGTCCTCCAAGTTGAACATGAAGCTCTCGAAAACCTCCTGGGAGAAGGCGCTCCCTCCCCCGCCATTGGCCAGCGGGTCCCACCCGTTCGAGTACTCGAGACTGATGAGAGGAGAGGCGCTCTTCGCATAATTCTCAATGACTTGATCGGTACTGACCGGCTTATCCGAAACGTCTAAAGAGCTTGAAGTTCTCTGTTTTCTACGTTGGTGCCATGAGAAGGTGAGAAATCCAGTGACCGTGAACCCGATAACAGCTATGACAGCAACCACCCCTAACACAACACTGGCTTTTCGGCCACTTAATCTGTTCGGACAGTGGGCTTTCCCGCAGCTAGACTTCAAATCAGCCGACTCGGGAATATCCTTCTTCGAAAGAGCATCGGGTCCAAGTGGCTCTGGCCGGTCCAGGTAAACCGTCGGACAGGGTCGCAGGTTGGGGAAACCGACTCCACAAAGGTCAGGGTTGTTTTCATATTGGAAACCATCATCGAGCCTCTTCAAGCCTAAGAAAATTGAAAATAAGCCGAAGTCCGTTAAACAAGTCCTTTTTCAATTGAACGGAAAAACGAAGAAACCGCGACATCGAAATCCGAGCAGACTAAAAATTTACCTGTAGGGACAAAGCCCGATAGGGTATTGTTGCGCACGTCCAGGACTTCGAGATTAGAAGCATTGGCCAATCTTGCCGGGATTGAGCCGAAGAAAGAGTTGTAGCTCAGGTCCAACCTCTTTAGGCTCGCCAAGTCCCCCAAGCTCGCGGGGATCGCGCCGGTGAGGAGATTATATTGCAAGGCGAGGACGCTCAGCTTCTGCAGGGACCCTAGCTGTCGAGGAATGCTTCCGGAGAACCGGTTGTAACACAGCTGCAAAACTGCAGAGCCCACAAGATGAGAACCAGGTTCAAGCTCAATTAGACGAACATTATTAACCGAGGTCATGTGAGTTCCGAGCCTAGAAGTTCAATTTGCTTAGACTAGGAAAACCGGAAAGTCTTGGAGTTGGCCGGAAACAAGATGCGACTAGCAAGCCCGTCGGCCTAACTCGCGAAATTCGAAACACTCTGCTCACAAATGAAAGAAAGCTAACAGAACAGAAAACGAAAAAGAGAGCAACCAACCAACCAACCAACCTTGAAGATTAGTCAAGTTGGCAATATCAGGAGGAATCTCCCCAGAGAAGCCATTGACGTCCAAGTACAAGTCGGTCAGCATCCTCAGACCCCCAATCTCCTTGGGTATCTCCCCGCCCAGGGCGTTGAAGTGCAGGTACAGCCCGCTCAGGCTCTCGAGCCCGCCGATCTCGGGCGGGATCCTCCCGCTCAGGCCCTTCCCCTGCAGCGATATGTTCGCGACGCGGCCGCGCCCGTCGCACGCCACCCCGTCGAAGGACCCGCCGGCGCACGGGTCGGAGCCCCGGGCCCACGACGTCAGGACCTGGCCGTCCGGGTCCAGGGAGGCCTTGAGGGCCATGAGAGCATCGAGCTCCGAGAGGGGCGACGAGCGGACATGGGGATGGCGGTGGACGAAGGAGAGGGAGAAGAGGAGAGAGAGGAGCAGAGAGAGCATGATGCTTGGTTAGAGATAGAGAGAGAGAGAGAGAGAACGCAAATGAAGGGTGCGTCCCACTCTTCTCACAATGTGAGCTTCGTTTCAAGAAAATGGTGGGTCTTGTGGGTTCGATCTTTCTCAGCTACGGCACCGCGAAGCCCGGAGAAAGAGAGAGACAGGAGGATAGAAGATGGTGGGGAGGAGGGTCCGTCTGTGCTCAAGACGCGAGCTCCTTATTTCAAGAAAATGGTGGGTGGGGCTGAGGCTGGGGCTTGTCCGGGCTCGATCTTTCTCAGCTATGGCAATGCGGAGCGCGGAGACAGGGAGAGGGAGGGACAGAGAATAGAAGATGGGGTCGCGTTTGACGTTGCAGTCCTGCAGATTGACAGAGGAAGGAGGAAGGAGGAAGGAGAGGCCGGAGGACTCGTGCATGAACAGCGTCGTCTGATGTTGTTTTTTTGTGTTTCCGTGTCGTCGCGGGAGGGACTCAGGGAGGACCCGAGCTAGCGGAGCGGGGCGAGTGTCAGATCGATCGAGAGTGTAGTTTGGCGGTAGCGCGAGCCGAAGCCAAAAGCTTGTATTATATATATCGAAGACGGGAGAAGGAGAAGGGCGAGTGGGGGCCCCGCGGGTCAATGATTGGGGCTCTTTTCGTGAGGGGAGAAAAAGTAGCGAGTGGGTCCCAGCACGGGGAAAGCAGGCTCGATGAGTTGGCGGCCGTCCGATCAGTTTCTTCTTCACGTGAAGTATATGGACAAAATTACCAAAAAAGGTCCTAAAGATATTACAATTGTGGTAATTTATTCATAATTTTTTTTGGGAAAATTTCAAATAAATATCTAAAGGGGGTTTTTTTTTTCTCAAAATAGGGTCCAAAGTGGACATAGTATCAAATAAGGGCTTGAAATACCCAATCAATCTCAAATAAGGACCCGAAGTGCCCAATTAGGTGCTGCATGAAAACCATTCAGTTACGTCCAGGAATGGTTTTTGTTCCGAAATCGGTTTTGACTGAAACTCGTTTGGTAACGTAATTTCATTTTTCTATTTCCTACAAGTTTCTTCGATTACAAACCGGAAATGAGAACAAAAAAAAAAGTTGGTTTTTCATTTCGGAACAAAAGTGAGAACCATTTCGAGGAATTCATTTTCTTCAACACACATATTCATATGGAAGTCACGTCTTTGAGGTGAAAAAAAAGCAAAAATCAAAAATTTCAAAACTTAATGAGAATGGTTTAGAATCATGATTTACCCACTTTCAGTGAAATTTAAATTTTTTAGGTACCGAAAAAAATAAATATAAATAAATATAAATAAAAAATTTCAAAATTTCACAAAATGGCTTAGAAAACCTATGGCCACCCACTTTGAAAGCAAAATTTAATTTTTTAGTTGCCAAAAAAATAAAAAATTATAAAATTTAAAAACTTCATAGAATATCTTAGAATCACTGTGTGCCACCCATTTGAGCGAAATTTTATTTTTTTAGGTGCCGAAAAAAAAAAAAAAAGTAAAAAATCAAAAATTTCAAAACTTCCGAGAATGGCTTAGAATACTTGTGCCATCCACGTTGAGTGAAATCTAAATTTTTTAGGTGCCGAAAAAAATAAAAAAAATAAAAAATTTCAAAACTTCATGAGAATAGCAAAAAATACCGTGGCTACCCACTTTAAGTGAAATTTAAATTTTTTATATGCAAAAAAAAATAAAAATAAGCAAAAAAGTAAAAATTTCAAAACTTTACAGTGAGTGCTTAAAATACTAGTACCACCCACTTTGAGCGAAATTTTATTTTTTAGGTGCAAAAAAAATTAAAAAAAAAAAAAAAGAAAAATTTCAAAACTTCACAAAATGGCTTAGAATACTGTGGCATCCACTTTAAGCGAAATTTATTTTTTTTTAGGTGCCGAAAAAATAAAAAAAATAAAAAATAAAAAACTTCACATAATTGTTTAGAATATTGTGCCACCCACTTTGAGTGAAATTTAATTTTTTTAGGTGTCGAAAAAAAAATAAAAATAAGCAAAAAGAAAAATTTTCAAAACTTCACAGAGTGGCTTAGAATACATGTGGCCATCCACTTTGAGTGAAATTTAATTTTCTTTAGGAACCAAAAAAATAAAAAAATAAAAATACCATTTGGGCATTTAAAAAAATTTAATTTTACTCAAAGTGGGTGGCTAAAGGTATTGTAAGTCATTCTGTGAAGTTTTGAAGTTTTTGATTTTTTATGTTTTTTTTCACCTAAAAAATTTAAATTTCACTCAAAGTGGATGGCCACGTATTCTAAGTCATTCCTGTGAACTTTTGAAATTTTTGATTTTGCTTTTTTTTCACCTCCAAAAATTAAAATTTCACTTAAAGTGGGTGGCGCAGGGTATTCTAAGCCATTCCGTAAAGTTTTGAAATTTTGAGTTTTTGAATTTTTTTGGGCACCTTAAAAATTTAAATTTCACTCAAAGTGGATGGCCACACGTATTCTAATCTATTCTCGTGAAGTTTTGAAATTTTGATTTTTTGATTTTTTTTGGGCACCTAAAAATTTAAATTTCACTAAAAGTGGGTGGCGCACGGTATTCTAAGCAATTCTGTGAAGTTTTGAAATTTTTGATTTCTTGATTTTTTTTGAAAAAATTCAAAAAATCTCCTATTTTCCAGAAATCTAAATTTTTTTTATTTTCTCGACATTTTGATGATTTTTTCTGGAATTTTTCAATTTTTTGGGATTTTCTGAATTTTTTTAAAGATTTTTATGAATTTTTCGAATTTTTATTATTTTTATTCCATTTCTAAAAAATGGATTTTTATTCCTGAAATAGAATTTTCTGTTGTTTATCAAACGGGTTTTTATTTCGGAAATATAAATTTTGTGCTGTTATCAAACGGGTTTCTATTCTAGAAATAGAAATTTTTTGTCATTATCAAACGGGTTTTTTTTCTCAAAAACTCATCCAGGAACCAGAAATAGAAAAATCTATTTCTGGTTCAGGAACTCATTCCGAAACAGAATGGTTATCATTTGCTACCTTAGTCTTAAGTAAGGGCCTGAGTTTGCTGGCCGATCAAATGCTCATTGGCCAGCAAGCACGTTACTGTTCCAGCGATCGGGACAAGAACAATTTCATCTTTTATTTTTTAAATTTTTTTCTTTCTTTGTCTTTTTTTTGTTTTCCTTTTCCTTTTCTTTTGTTTTTTCCTCTCTTCCCTCTACCGGCCATAGCTAGGGCCGGCGACCTTCGCCGGCCTTACGCGGAGTTTGCCCTCATCGGTGTCGGGCGAGGGCCGCCCTCGCTTGGGCTGGGCGGGCGAGGGTGGCCCTTGACTAGGTTGGGCGGGCGCCGGCGAGGGTTGCCTCGTCGAGGCCAGATCAATGCGAGATTCGATGGAAACCTGTCTCTTGCTTGCGTGCAAGAAGATCGCATCTCCATGAATGATGAGGGATGAGGATGACCCATCTCTTGGTATCGCTTGTTGGCTCGGATAAAGAGCATCCCGAGTCGAGATCGAGCAAGAACCATGCAACCCACCTCATCTTTCCGGGAAAATTATCCGCGCATGGCCAAGAGCCCCGCCCAGATTTTCCCGAGAAAAGTTACAGAGAGAACAATTCCTCATTTATCACGAATTCGTGTGCACAATCTCTATCTTCGACCTGGGGGGTCGTGAATTTTTTCCAGATGATCAAGAATAACGAATCTATAGAACAAAAAGATGGAAAAAGGAACGAATGAGCGTGTAAAGAATGATTCATGACCTGTGATTTTGCTATTGTTGCTGCTTCTTCTTCTTCGTCTTCGTCTTCGTCTTCTTCTTGAAGACGACCTCAGTGTTGAGGTCGAACCTCGCCCGCCCAGCCCAGGCAAGGGCGGCCCTCGCCCGACGCCAGCGAGGGCGACCCTCGCCAGCCTAGGCGAGGGCAGCCTCCACCCGCCCTGGCTATGGCTGGCGGAGGGAAGAGAGAGAAAAAAAAAAGGAAAAGGAAACGAAAAAAACATAAAAAGGAAAAAGAAAAACAAATTTTAAAAGTAAAAGACGAAATTGCCATTGTTCCGATTGCCGAAACAATAGCGTGCTTGCCGGCCGGTGAACATTTGACCGATCGGCGAACCCAGGTCCTTACTTGAGACTAATTGGACACTTCGAGCCCTTATTTGAGAGTAATTGGGCACTTCGGGCCCTTATTTGAGACTGATTGGGCACTTCAGGCCCTTATTTGACACTATGTCCACCCTATTTTAAGAAAAAGACCCCACTTTGGGTACCTATTTGAAATTTTTCCTTTTTTTTTTGCCAATTGAATCTGAAGTCTTTTATATTCGTGTCAATTCAGTCCATTCGGCCAATTTTGACCAGCCGATAACAAATATGGACGTTGACCGTCTTACATGGGGCAACCGGCGTTGACGTAGATAATTTTAATAATATTTTTATATTGCTGAGCGAGGCTCCACCTCGCCCACGATAGCGAAGGTGAGTGAGTGACTAGGGGAAGAAGGAAAGAAAAAAAAAGATATAATAAATTCGAAAAAAATATTAAAATATTATTAAAAATTATCCACGTCAGCACCGGTGGTACCACGTAGAATGCCTGGCATTCATGTCAGCGCCGACTGGCTAAAATTGGCCAAATAGACTGAATTGACATAATTGCAATAGATTTAAGATTTTTGTGATAATTTTCCCGTAATGACGTGATGTTTTCAAAGCAAATCTTGCCGAACTGAAGTCCATGACTCATATGGTAAATAGTTTTCTGGTAAATAGAAGAATTATACATTATGGTTCATATTAATGTACATAGCAATATGTATTCTTTTGGGAAAAAGAATATTAAAAGTGTCATAATTTAAGTACAGTGTTCGCTGAAGTGCCAAATTTTTTGAGAAATCACTTGAGTGCTACTCTTGTAAAAAAAATGATCATTCTTATGTCATCGCCGATTTGTCTAGCCGGAAAATTCGACGTGCAATTTTTTTTTATTAGCCATTCAATGTGACTTACCGACAAAGTGAAGTTAGCATTACTAAACCTAAACGACGTTGATTGGCCATCTATTTGCCCCAAATTTAATGAATTGGGGGCAAAATACAGTATGAACCATAACCCTAATTCTTCAAATCAGGACAACTTACGTTCTGAAAACAATGTTTAGTTCTTGAT